CCAGGAGCTGTCCGAGGTGCCGAGCCGTGCGGGGCCGGGCGGTGTCCGAGGGGCCGAGCCGTGCGGGGCCGGGCGGTGTCCGAGGGGCCGAGCCGTGCGGGGCCGGGCAGCACCATGGTGTTCGCTCCAGGTAAGGGCAGCCGCTTCCCGCGCCCAGCCGGTGGAGCCCAGCGGGAAGGCCCCGACCGTGCCGGAGAGCTGCTCCGGGGGGCTGCGGGGGAGGGGGTAACGGCTGAATCAGAGCTGCCGCCCAGCAGGGACAGGCGGTTTCAAAGAGGACGGCTTAGCTTAGGATGGGTTTAGCTGCGGAGCTGGAGGTTAGGAGGGTCACCCCTGTGGTGCCCACCACGGACAGGAGCCTCCTATACGAGTGTGCAGGGGAGTGTGCTTGTCAGACTGCGCAAAAGGGTCAGGAAGGGGGACGTGGCCTTGCAGCAACTGGAGAGCGAGTCCCCACCCTGGCACTCACACCGGTGGCTGCCAGTGAGACACCCTCTGAAACTCATGGAGATATTTTACAAATTTCCACCCCACCCCACCCCCCACCCCGCCCCAAGTATTTGAATGGAAGAGAACAGAAAGTTTGTTCAGTCCAGTTTTTACTGGAACAAAATTGGGGACTTCAGCAGGAGCTCATGTCTAATGCAAGACCTCACTCTATAAAGATGCAGAATCTCTGCTGTGTAGTCTATATGTGCTACACCAGAGAAGAAGGGAAGGTATAGAGCATGTGCATTGTACTTTGTACATTCTGCTGGGAAATAGGCAGTTTGTTGCTCAGAAAGGGTTGAGAGGCCCAGTAGCTCCAGGATATAAACGTAAGTCATGCATAATATCTTCTGTAGTGAAATGACTTGAAATTAACTTCTTTAAAGATGTGTAATTGTCAGCAAAAATAGAAAAGGGAAAGTAAAGGCTGCAACGTGACAATGAGTGACTATTAATGCCTTTGTTTTGCAAAGCTAACAGAAGTTTTGTCTTCCTTTGAAATTCTATATCGAGTCTGTGAAGGGATAAGAATTCAAAAGCTTTATACCTTCATTAAAAAAATGATCTTGGGGTTGACTTCACTAACTCAACAACTCAGCAAAGTCTAATTTTCTGAGAAATTAATATCCTTTTTCAACAATCAGAAGTTCATTTTGTCTCTAACTGCCCAGTTGCTGTCTAATTTCATACTTTCCCATACATCATGTTCTGAAATTGGGACCAAGTTATTTCTCTTAATAGAACCACCCACTGTTTTTTGTAGTACACCTTTCAGTATTAGTGGCTCTTTTCTGAACTCCTTTTATCTGACAGTCTGTTACCATTAACTGTACTCATTTTTGAAATGCACCGTGGGACTGGAATACTGCAGGAAGGGTTTACCTCTAAAATAATGAAAACATGCTCATCTTCGTCAAAGGCTGACAATGAACAAGCCCCAAATCTCATTAGTAACTACATGAATTGTTCTTTTCACAACTCTAATCCATACAGAAAA